CCCCTGATGACGGTTTGAAAGTGTCCGACCCCCCCCCCGGGTATTGTTTTTTAACACACAGGTTTCCCTAGAGTTGGGTTTTCGCCTGCATTTTTTTTGTTTTTCTGTTTTTTTCAAAATGCTGCTCTCGCTGAGGCGCCGGCCTCATTTTCGGGCCCCGCTCGTTCCGAATCGTGCTCCCGCTGCAGCGCTGGCCTCATTTCTGTGCTTCCGCTCGGTCCGAATCGTGCTCCCGCTGCAGCGCTGGCCTCATTTCCGCGCTTCCGCTCGTTTCGACTCGTGCTCCCGCTGCAGCGCTGGCGTCATTTCCCGTGCCATGCCACGGCATGCAATGCAATGCTAGGTTGATACTACGCTTTGCGGTGCTCTTCTACGCCATGCCATGCCGTGCTCTACAATGCATCGCGTACCCTTTCGGGATCATTGCCCTGCTCGACATCCGACTGTGCGAGTAGAGAGGGGATCTGCGCCATGGTAAGGGATGGGAGGGAGGGGTAGGATGTCAGATCTGACGCGAGCGCACTCCCCCCTCCCTCCCTCCCTTCCTCCCTCCCCCTCCCCCCACCCTGCGAGGAGAACATGCAGCCGGAGGCCGTGGACTTCATCATCTCCGCCGTGTCCTCCGAGGCACGGAGCCGTCGGGCCCCCCGCTTCGCGGCTCCTCCAAGGGGCCTCTGGAGCTCCCCGGGCGGGGTCCCGCGAGGTCCTGGAAGGCCTCGAGGCCCAAGAAGTTCCGAACTCGTCTGGAAACGTCGATCCTCTTCGTCGTCGTCCTCGTCTTCGTCGGCGTCGTCGTCGTCCTCCTCCTCCTCCTCGTTCTCTACACGTGCTCAATCTGAGTACTACTCTTCTCTCTCCCTCGACGACGTTCTGGAAGCGTCCCGCCCTCCCGGCGCAGCATATTTCCTCACACAAGCTCAAGGCCTGTAGTTTCATGTTCTGTCAATCGGGGCGTTTTTTTCGGTGTTTCGAATTGGTGCTCCCGCTGGAGCGTGCGCCCCAATTTAGGATCGGCGCTCTGTTTCCATCCTTCACAGAATGGCGCTCTGGCCCAGCGCGGGCCACTCTTCTAGATCCTCATCCTTCCTCATCCTTGACGTCTCCCCGCTCCTCTCTCTTCCTCCGCCCTCTCCTGGTCCTCCTGCTCCTCCCGCTCCTCCTGCTCCTGCTTCTGCTGCTGCAGTTCCTCCTCGTCCTCCTCATTTCTCCTCTTCCTCCTCCACCTGCGCATCCTCCAGCTCATCCTACCGCTTCCTCATCCTCCTCCTCGTTCTCTTCCTGATCACAGAACTCCCCTGGTCTGGCTGCGCATATAACGATGGTGTCCTTTTGCGGGTTCCAGGTCCGCCATGACACCCGTCGGCGGATCTGTCGAGACATCAGCGCAGTGGGCAAGGGTGGGTGGCATGGGTAGGATGTCAGCTATGGCGCGAGCGTGCCTAGCTTGGTGTGAACACCATTTTCCCCCCCTCTCCCCCGACGGCGTGCCGAAAGTGTCCCGCCCTCTCCGTGCATGGTTTGCCACAGAAGATTTCACACGCTGACGTTGTGCATGTTTTTGCTCGACTGTTGCTTTTGTTTGTTGGATTTCAGCAGTTGTGTTCCCGCTGCAGCGTGCGCCCCACTTCGGGATCGGCGCTCTGCTCCAGCCGTTCAGAAAAGGTGCTCTCGCCTCAGCGCGGCCCACTTCAGTTGTGGAGGACGATCAATGCAGAGGAAGCATGTTGCCAAATAAGTTTCATATTTTTAGATCATGTTCCAAACATTTTAAACACATGGTCAATTCACTGATGGGGCTGGTAGGATGTCCATCGTCATGGCATCCACAGCACTTCAGGATCCGAGATCGTTGTCGTTGTTGACGCTCCCTCCTGTCCTCTCCTCCACCTTCCCCTTGCCCTCCCGCTCCTCCCGTTCCTCCTGCTCCTGCTGCTGCTGCTGCTCCTCCTCTTCCCCATCCCCCTCCTCTTCCTCCTGCTCATCCTCCTGCTCCTCCGCCACCTCATCCCCCACCTCCTCCAACGTACACAGCTGCCGTTTCTGCCTGCGCATGGCGCGATGGGGTAATTCGGGATTCCAGGTCTGACATGACACTCGTAGGCACACACACATATATACATTTGTGTGCGTGGATATATATATATATATATATATATATATATATTCGCATAACAACATCAGCGCAATGGGAATCCATGGCTGGGAGGGGTAGGACGCCAGATATGGCGCGAGCGCGCCTAGCTTGTCTTCGTCTGGCTCCGTTCCCCTCCGCCTCCGCCTCGCCCTTCGCAGGCCGAACAGATGGCGTCCCACTCCTTCGGCTGTCGGGTGATCCAGCGCCTGGTCGAGCGCTGTCCGCACGAGCAGATCGGGAACCTGCTGGACAAACTCACCGCGAGCGTCGGCATGCTCTCCCAGGACCCAAGTTGCAACGGTGTCTCGGCAATCTCAAGTTGGAAACTGACCTTCCATGAGAACTGCAACTCCGGTTGGAGCGGAGGCCTCCCGAGGGTGTGCTCCCACTCGTTGTAGGTGAAGTGCCGACGGAGGGTAGGGAACGGCAGGCTCGAATAATCGCACGTTCAAAGTATTCGATTGTCCAGCTGCGCTGTTGCACGTACTTGCTGCCGCCATGGGGGGGGGGGGGGCGGGGCAGAGGCTCTGCCAGGGGTCGATCTCTCCAGGATGGCCAGGGCAAACACAGGATGCGTAAACTGTGCTGCCTTCCCGTCCCAAGTCCCAAGTCCCTCCCCCTCCTCATCCCCCTCCCCCTCCTCCTCCTCCTCCTCCTCCTCCTCCTCCTCCTCCTCCTCCTCCTATCCCTCCTATCCCTCCTCCTCCTCCTCCTCCTCCTCCTCCTTCTCCTCCTCCTCCTCCTCCTCCTCCCCTCCCCTCCTCCCCCTCCTCCACCTCCTCCTCCTCCTCCTCCTCCCTCCTCCTCCTCCTCCTCCTCCTCCTCCTCCTAGCCCCCCGCGCTCAGGAATCTCCTGCACTGGGACTGGACTGCATGCAGCCTCCCGAGAACCGTACCTCGTGCTAAAGGCTGGCGGCTCCCCTAGGCCAGCCTTCCTCCGCTTACATCTTGTGTCCAATGTTATGCTTGCTCTGTGTCCTTGTTGACCAGCATGCTGACTTTTGTCCACTGGAACTGTATGGCGGCGGATGTGGCTCGGCTGCATGATATTAGTGAGGAATTCAAGCATGTGGACGTCGTCGCACTTACAGGGACGTGCGAGAGGGCCCCCGCTGACCGGGCTGTGGTGTTCACGACGTTACGTTACCACATCGCTCTTAGGAGCGGGTTTGTTGCAGGTAAGTATGTCAATCGCTCTTGTGGGATCACTCTTCTCCTTCGGCGGCGCGTCTTTCGTCGGAAACATGTGGTGGATGCGCCGCCAGTTCCAGAATCGCTTCGTGGTCGAGTCGCTGTGTATCGTGTGCGCTCTGGTCGTTTCGATCTACTCATTCCAGTCACCTACTTTCCTCCGAAGCCGTCGAGTCGCCGAATTGGTCGTGAGTCTGTGGGTGCTGAAGCACAGAAAGGTTACAGACACACCGTAGACGCTGTATGTTCCTGGATAGAGCGTACGCTCACGTGGTCGCGGAAACGTTCTGCACTACTGTGGGGGTTCGACCTCAATCATTCTTTTGGGTATCGCCATCGGGCTGGTGGAGTGCGTGAACTCGTTCAATCTCCTGCGCTCGGCCCCTTTCGTGAAGGCGAACAGAGGTATGCTGCTGATCGAATCTTGGAGGTGCTTGAACGACACGCTGTCACTGTAATATCGACGAACTTTGATTTAGGACCTACCTTTCACGGTGCGCTCGGCACGTCGCAGATAGATTATATCGCAACTTTCTCTTGGCAGCGTTCAATGGTGGATAGATGTATTGCAATGCGGAGATCCAATCAACGCCTGAAACTTGTACAGAGAGCTGGCGTGCAGGATCACGTTCCGCTTCTCCTTCGGCTCGACTATGCACTTGATCTTTCTGAGTCTACCCCCGCGGGTACGGCTTGGGATTTCGATCGCCTCGCCGCTGCTCTTCGGCACGGCCACGGGGTTCGAGCGTTCGTGGACGAACTCGAGCAGCATTTTCAGTCTGTAGATTTTCATGACATGATGCTGAATTCGCCGACGCCCGACGAGGGTTGGGCTAAATGGGTCACCACAGTCTACACTGTCGCCGAACGCCATTTTTCACGAAGCACTGTTACCGACGAGGCTACTCGCAACTTCGGAGCAGAGCGCAGTCGGCTTCTTTCAGAGCGACGGGCTGCACGCGCAGCTGGACACGATGATACCGAGACGTCTTTTCAACTTGCTCGCCTCTCGCGTCGTTTGCGTCACTTGCGGAGATCTAGGCAAGCTCAGGTGACGGAACAACTTGTATCCGAAATAGGAGTTGCATGGAAGAAAAGGCTGCGCGCTGAAGTTTGGCGTCTTGCGCATGCGCTTGCAGGGAAATGTGGGGGCCCTAAACGCAGGAAGTATGACACCATGGATGAGTTCGCTCCGAGGCTTGAGGAGATCCGCACCCACTTCGCCAAACCGGCTGCTGAGGGAGGTTTCGAGGCAGTTCCGATCAACTTTTTGGAGTACCAGCAGGCCCAGATTGAGGTTGCCCCCAAGCCCCCGATGTATGGCATCGATAATTTCTACCACGTGGAGGTCGGCCGTGGGGACCTCGAGAAGGTTCTGGAGTTGCTCGCTCGGGCCCCCCGCCGAAAGGCGGCCCCACTTCATAGTGTACCTTCTGAAGTGCTCCAGCTGGCTCTTGACCCTCAGCGCAGGTTCGACGGCAGCTTTCGGAGGCCCCGACGTAAGGATCGTGACAACGACGACGACGAGGAGGGCCCGTCGCAGGCTCCAGCTTTTGTCCCACGGCATAGGCTCGCTGGAGATCGCAGAGGCCTAGGAGCCGAGCCCGAGGTTTTCAGGAATGAGTCCACGCTCAGGGTATTCAGAAGGTCTTCCATCACATTAGGCGTGTCGGGCGCGTGCCCCTGGTGTGGCACCACTCCAGAGCCACCGGCCTCAGCAAGCAGAACGGGAAGGAGGGGTTTGGGGCGCGTCGCTACATACATGGTCTCTGCCGAATGGGGGTCACTTGGTTTAAAGCTCAGTTGCTCCGAGGTCCTCCTGATCAGGTCCCCGACAGGGAACATGGGTACCACCATGGTCGCAATAGAGAGGGGGCCCTTCTCTGTCAAGAGGCACTCTTGGGCAGGCTCAAAGTCTTGGGGATGTCCTCCGTTACATCCAAGGAGGACATGTCGAACGCGTTCGGGTGCTCGAGGTTTTCCGAACTTAGGCGTACCGTGGAGGCCTCCATCGCAGAGCCCGAGCAGGCCTTCTTTCATCATCGTCATGAGTTCAGCAGCTTCACGATCGTGGGGGCCGACGGGGAGCAAACCATGCACAACAGATGCGGTGCTTTCATGGGCGATAGCCCTTCTGCGGTGTTTTTCGCTCGTACCTTTCGCAGGCCAGTGCAGGATTGGCTAGATGATCTTCGTGCACGTACGTGGCAGTCTGACCCTCCACCTCGACCTCAGAGTTATCAGGAATGGTTGGATACCCCCCTCGTCCCTGCTGTGCCACCGTCAGACTGGTCACGAGTACTTTGGCCGAGCGAGGCTCTTTGTACAGCATGGACGCCGATATTGCATCGACCTGTTGATCTCTCGTGCCGAATTTACGCTGATGATACGAGTGAAACACATATCGTCTCATCTGCTCGCAATGCACAGTACACGCTCCAGACAGCACATGGGGGTCTTACACAGGCGCTTGCTCCGAGTGGGTACGTACACAATGAGGGCAAGAGCACGGTGTCCCCGTCTTTCGTCGGCCGTGGTGCGCACGCTCATGCTGCTGCTCTCTTTGGAGGCTCCGTCAGAGTTGCAGGTAAGGTCCAATATGATAATGTGGCCCTGGGGATCCAGACGGCGATCAACGGAGGGGTGCAAGGAGAGTTGAGACGCCGTATTCTAGCCTGCAGGAGGGGGTACTATTCGATGGGGCGCTTCTGGACCCAGAACAGAGTGTGGAGGTTTACTCGGGCAGTTTTTGGAGCTGTTGTTCAGGGTGCGTTGCTCTCTGGCCTCACGGTTCTCATCTTGACGGAGGCTCAGGAGGGCCGACTCGACCGTGTACTTGTTGGGTTTGCGAGAAAGCTCTTAGGCGGGCATGCATGTGCAAAGATCCCAGCTCTCGATGAAAAGGGGGACCCTAGAGTTGACGAATCAGGTGGACCTATCCTCAGATACCGTGCGATGACCGATGCAGCCGTGCTTCGCAGAGTCGGTGTTGCACCCTCGGGGGTTGAACTTCGGGTTCGGCGCCTTCGCACTTATCGAAGATGGATCACGTGCCCTTCCTCTCACCCTCAGGAGCTTGCTGCAGTATTAGGCCAGCTCCCCCTCGAGCCCACTCCGACGGTGACCGATGACGGCACGTTGGGGCCAAAGATCAACCCGTATGCGCAGCGCTTCGCCCAGGACATCGTGAGTCTCTTGGATCACGCGGAGGCCGAGGACCTTACTGAGTCCTTGATGGTTCCCAATGGGCAGGCGGAGTCTTGGAGGCGTCTGAATATTCGGGCACTCTTTCTGGATGATGTTCTTCGGGGTCGCTTCCTGGCACTCGATCCTGGGCTTCTTCGGGCTGCTGCGAGGACTGTCGCCATTCCACCACCGCCTGGCCTCCACGGGCCCGCTGCTCCTGAGGCTCCTGGCGACCCCGAGGTCCCTCCGCCCCCAGAGGCGATCTGGAGATGTGAGCTCAAAGATTCTACGGGGGTGGAATGCGGTAAGACCTTTAGTACCAGGAGGGCCTTACTCGCGCACCAGAGGTTCTCCCTGAATGGAGGGCATGCGTGCCGCTCGGTGGTTCACACGGCAGTAGTGACGAACAAATGTATATTCTGCATGCAGACCTTTCGGACTCGTCGTATCGCCCAGGAGCACCTGGTCCAGGCCATGTCGTCAGGACAATGCTTCGCGCAGGCGTCCCCCTTCAAGCACCCCGTGCTTCAGCCCGAGTCTCTGGAGCGCCCCTTCGCGTCCCTCGCGGTCGGCTCGATCTTCGGAGGAAACAGTGCCGAGTTCTGCTGCATGGTTGATGTCCCGTTCGGTACTTTGCCCGAGCTGTTTGCACATCTTCGTACGCACGCTCCGAGAGAACCCCTGTGCTCTGCGGTACGCGCCTCCGCTGGCCATGTTTCGGCTCACCGACGACGCACTCAAGGAGGCCGAGCGCTCCCGTTCCAAGGGGCGAGGGTCGTCGCAGCCCAAGACGAAGGGGCGAGGCCGATCTGGCTCGGCAGCGGCTTCCCGCCAGCGTGGCAGGCGCCGCGGCAGCGCCGAACCTCGACAGCAGCGCCAACTCCAGCGCGCCGCAGGTGGTGCTCCAGCCGCAGGCAGTCCCGTGATGAAAGAGATGGGCCGCGCCTACGGATTGCCCGACGATGTGATCCAGAAACTACCGCAGATGG